TAGATGCATGGAATGTGGCAAGAGCTTCTGTCGGAGAAGTGATCTGTGTTCACACCTAATGACCCACACAGGTTAGAAACCCTATCAACGCATGGAATGTGGGAGGAGCTTCATTCATACCAGAAAGCAGAGTTCACATCAAAGAACTCTGAGAGAAGAGAAGTTGTAGAAATGCATGGAACTTGCAAAAACATTTAGCTAGAAAAATAACCTTCCCTCCTCTGAAGGAACCCACAGAGAATGGAAACGATGCTATGGCTGGACTTCAGCGCCTCCCCACATCTGATGTGTTATGACGGGTTAACTGTTTCAGGCTTTATCATCATTCAATGCAGATGGCATGATGTGCACTGCATGATGCATCCAATGTAACATCAAGGATTCTGTGCCCAAGGGTATGATGTGGAATCAGCTTTCATGACACCATGATAGGCATCGTTCAGTCTTGAGAGACTATGGTAACATGCTCTGAATAGAGGTCTTGGAACAGCATCTAATGTCACTGAGAAGGCCAATTCGAGAGTGACAATCCCTTCCACACTGAAGACAAATCCAATCTGTCCCCTGTCCAGTTCCCTGATTTTGCTACTTTTGTGACTTCCTCTTTGCCTCAGCCGCTGGACAAGGGTCTCTTCAAATTCGGAGAAAAATACAATCTGTCCCCTGTCCAGCTCCCTGATTTGGCTGGTTTCGGGACTGCCTCTTGGCCTCGGCCTGCTGGACAAGGGTCTATTCAAATTGGGAGAGGCCGTGATGCACCGCCTGCATCCAGGCTGAACGCTGAGACGTCAAGGTTTCCCATCTGTTGAGGTCCATTCCTAAGGCTTGCAGATCCCGCTTGCAGATCTTGTATTGCAGTGGTAGTCGTCTTCTGGGGTGATTTCTCCGCACTAATTCTCAATGCAAGAGAAATTCTCTCATGACAGCAGGTTGCGTACTAAACATCCAAAAAACTACAGTGGTGCCTTGCTTAACGAGCGCCCCATTTAACGATGAATCCGCAAAGCGATGTGGATTTTGCAATCGCAAAAGCGATCGCATTACAATGTTTTAAGTGGCTGAAAATCGCTTTGCGATGATCGGTAAGCGTTTCGCTTACCGATCTTCGCATTGCGATGTTTTTAAAACAGCTGATCGGCGGTTCCAAAATGGCCACCGGGTAACCAAAATGGCCTCCCACAGCATTTTCACGCGGTTTCCTCGCATACCGGGTGACGAAAATGGCGGCTGTATGAAGGATTTCCACATAGCAGTGAGTTTTTCCCCCATAGGAACACATTAAACGTGTTTTAATGCGTTCCTATGGGGTTTTTTGCCCCGCATAGCGACGAATCCGGATAGCGATGATTTTTTTGGAATGGATTATTGTCGCTATGTGGGGCACCACTGTATACTAGGTAGAATCTTGAAAAAGAGAACTCCCACAAATGCCCTTTCAGTGTTTTCATATTGATAGCGTGGCTGAAGCTTACATGGTGAAATTCAGTAAAGTCTTCCCTCAAACAGGGCCTGCTCCCACTGGTGAGACTCCGTTGTTTTCTGCAGCCACCCTGTACTTTTAGCATCCTTCCTAGAAGATGGCGGGGTGGGTCATTTGGAATACATCTACTGCTGATGTTCACAGCCCTGGTGGGGCCCAAGGAAAAAATGGTAGGAAAAAGAGAAGATAGAGTGGACGTACAGTGGTCTGAAGCTGAGTTCTGTGACTTAATCATCCTTTCATCCCATGAAAGAAGGCAGAATTGCCTCTAATTCATACATTCATGGGTAAAGTTGCTTTTCATTCATGTGGGGATAAGTGGGGCTTGAGGTTCACAAAACACGTTTTTGTGGCCTTCCAGAGTTCCTCAGAGCTCTCCATAAGTAAAAAAAAAGTTTAAGAACATCATGGTTTCCTTTTGAAACGTGGCAGCAAAAAGAAATCTTTAGAGCAATATTTTTGCCAATGTAAATTTAATATTTCTCTTGTGTTTCCTTAGCAGTTCTTTTCTTGATTTGATGATTTTAGAGGATTAAGCTTTTTTAAAAAATCATAAGAATTAATGATTGAATAACAGGCTCACGTCAGGGGGAGAACACACTGATGAGAGAAGTTGGCTGTAAGCAAATCGCCTGCTGAAATATCCCAGGCCTCTTGAACCATCCGAAAATCAGAAACCTCTTTGAGTTGGGGCAGGAGGGAATCCATGACTCCAAAATTCTCCGGTCGAAAAGGCAAGTGTGCCGGTCCTTTTTCCGCATGTTTGATCTAAATAAACGAGACGTACCGGAAAACTTTATAAACTGAGATATATATACATTTAGGAGTGAACTCTTCTGAACTGTAGTCCGCTTCCCTCCGTGAACATCGTTGTTGTAGATTTTGGGACATAAGATGTCTTCCAGAAGTGATTTCTCACGGCCACTGTTCTTCCAGTGAGTTTCCACAGTCAAGGAGGTATTTGAACCCAGGTTTCCTGCATCCTCCTCTGATATGCTGTGAGACTTTTGAGGGGAGACTCGTCCTTGCCTTCCCACCAGTGAATTCCCAGGACAAATCTGGGCTTTCCAGAGGGGTCTTCGGAGTCCTAGTCTGGCACTCTGTCTGTTGCGACCCTGCTTGAGTCACACCGGTTTCACCGACAAGCAGAGGCCTCTCCTGGGAAGCCGGTTCCTCCTTCCTTCATAAGATCCCTTCGTAGGATGCCTGCTTCGAAGAGCAGGTTAAGAAAGCCTTTGCCACTTGCCAGCTTATGTCGTTAAAAGACAATATTTAAAAGCTCACCACAGTGAGTATGCAGAGACTTTAAAAAAGGCTCAAACAAACAGTTGGGGAGAGTGAGGTGTGTCCTTCCCTTTTCTCAATGGCTGCGTTGGGGGTCCCGGGTTAGAAAAAGCAAACAAACCTCTCAGCCCCCCCATTGTAAAGAGATAAAAGAACTGAAAGGGTGTCCTGCAGGAAATTGTAAAATGTGCTGGGGAAAAAAATTGTACTGTAGCCCAAGGAATCCACATGGGGGAAAGGGAATGTGGGGAGACATGTTTTAATGTATACATTGTGGCTGTTGCTGTGCGCCATCAAGATGCCTCGTAACTCATGGCCACCCTACGGATGAATGAGTGACCTCTGAAATGGCCTTGCCTCAGTTGCCTCGCTCAGCTCTTGTAGGCTCAAAGTTTGTGGCTTCTCGAAGGAAGATAATCCGTCTTGTACTTGGTCTTCCTCCTTCCCTGCTCCCTTCCACCTTTCCTAGGATGTTTATCTTTTCCAGAGAAAGCTGCTTTCTCGTGAGGTGCCCAAAGTAGTCTAGTTGCTTCATTGCTCCTCTCCCGAGTCCTGGTCTTCTGATTTCTTGGCTGCTGTCTCCCTTTGGACTGATCATCGAATCCAGGGATACGAACATTTTCCCCCCACCATTTCAGTTCCTTTATTGCCAACGCCCAAGTTCTGTAGTCCTTCTGTCGTCGTGATTGTTTTTGTCTTCTGAACAGTCAACTGAAATCCTGCTCTGGTGCGTGTTTTTTTTTTTTGACGTGCCCACACACCAAACTTCATTCCCGAGGGGGAAACTCCATGAATCTTCACAGAGTCCCCACCCTCCATGTTCTCTCAAAATGGTGCATGTGTCCCTCCATCTCTTTCCTTCCCCCAACTGGTAGCCAGAGGCCGAGAGAGGTCCTGGGGAGGCGGTTGGTTGGGAGACAAGAGTCCTGTGTGTGAAGAATTGTTTCCAGTCTGTGCTCCCCACCCCACCCGCCACTGAGAATGGCTGGACTCTAGAGCCTTGTGCTCAGAATCCCGC